AGTGACTGGCCCAAAGGCACCCAGTTGGCTTTATGTCTAAGCTGAGACTCTAGGTTTCTAGCTTGATGCCTTAACCACTACATCAGAATCTCCCTAACTTTCTGGCTTTGTGGATCAGCAGGAGGAGAGGACATGGTTCTGTGTGGGTGCCCACACTTGTCCGCTGCTCACACAAGTGGGGATGCACACATGTGCATGTTCGCCCACTTCCATAGCCTGGTTCTGAATGGCTTACGGCCCAATAGTGGGCTATGGCCTGGAGGTTGGGGACCCCTGCCCTACACCAAAATGCCTCTGTAACATCATGCTAAGAGGAATTAAACCATGATGCGGTATAACAAAGACCAGAGAAGATCAAAGTATGTTTGATGGATAAAATACCAAGAGTCAAGATACAAATTTCCAGGAACAAAAAAGTGTCCAAAAATTATAACCATCTCTAAATTCTAAACTGCAACAATATTCCATGACAACATTGTTGAAAACCAGGTACTTTTAGATTGTAGATCAGCAGAGGAAAAGAAGCTCTAAAAAGTGTAAAGTGCAGAAAACTCTATTTTCCATACTAATTTATTTGCTAGATGTCTATGGAAATTCTCATTCATCCAGATCATGGTTGCCCCAAAGATGCTTTTTCAAGAGGCAATTGGACTTTTCTTTGAATTTCCCACCATCTAGCCGGAGCTGAAGAAGTTTCTTGGATAAGAAGCGAAACATCTTAAAAAAAAAAACAAAAACAGAAACCCCCGTTCCCTCTTGAAAAAGCAGGGTTGGGATAATTCATTTGCTGTTTTATGCCTGCTTCTTCTCTAGTCATTATTTCCACATTGGGAAATCATTCTGGAATCAAGAAGGCAACCTTTCATAATTGTCTGATTGTACTAACCTCTCTGCTAACCTTCCCTGGTTGAGGAAATCATTTGATCAGCAATGCAGTCTGTATCTCTGATTAGTTATACTAGAACTGAGAAATGCACTTAAGTGATGATCAGGATATGCAAGCTTTGATTGAACAAATCTAGTGATTGTTGTATTGCATTCTGTTGCCTTCTCTGATGATTATGCCTGTCAAGGACAAAGATCCTTAAGAGATGAAGAAATGAGTTTTCTATGTTTTTTCCCTTTGAAGGAATCTCCTGGGGGAAAAAAAGCTTAAAATACTAACTAGTCCATCTCAATTTTTTAAAAGTAATTTCACAGCTGAATCCTATCCATGTTTACTTAAGAGCAAGTTTCATGGTTGTCAATGACACTTGTTCTTTAGCACAACTTTCCCCACCATGTTGCTTTGTAGATATGTTGAAATTCTTCTTCCTCAAGACTAGATATTTAAATAATTGTCTCCAGTTTCCTCTTTTAATCAGGCTGATTACGCTGAAACTGTTTTTGGATGTATAGTGCTAATACAAATCCAGCAGTGAAGTAACAATAAACCTAAGATTTTCCTCCAGAAATGCTTAATTAATGGCTATTTGTGACTAAATCTGCAGAGAAAATCTAGCAGTCATTAATTAGCAAATAGATAATAAATGATGAAAAAGCAGAAATATGAGTGAAAAGGAAATTACAAAACTGAGCCAGAAGCACTAAAAATGAATTCTATGCCTTCCCTTTCACATGCACTCTATTATTTCCAGTTTTTTCCACAAATTTTTGACGGAGGCCTTAAACCGCTTTATCAGGAAATTTCCACCTACAGTCCTTCTCAGGACTGTCCATAGAAAAACAAAATTATAGACTGAATTCCACCATTCTTCCTCTCATTGGAAGAAGACGAGAGCTTCTTAAAGCTGCCCATTACTTAGAGAAACCAATTATTATACAGATCCAGAAATCTATTACACTCTGGGACAATTTTAAAAAGTACTATAAATTCATTAAAAGGAATATGAAAACTCAATAGTTATTTATATATTCTTGGATTAGTAAAATACATGCTTTATATTCAAAATAATTTAAAATGCAATCCCTGACATCGGACATACCATGTTTCAGGATTCTTAATCCTGCTAGGAGATGGATTAGACAATATTGTGCTAGATGGACCAAAAATCTGGTGCATCCACGACAGCTTAATTCTTGACTTAACATTTATATCTGAGATCACTTGGTTCAGGTGGAATCTGTGAGAGAAGGTATTTTAGCAATCCCCTTTTCCATAAGGATGTTTTCATTAGGGACCCTGAGGATAAAGCTTTTTCATGTACCATCTTCTGGAACAATTTCACCAGAGACATAAGGTGACGCAGTGGTTAAATGCAGCACTGCAGGCTACTTCAGCTGATTGCAGTTCTGCAGTTCGGCTGTTCAAATCTCACCGGCTCAGGGTTGACTCAGCCTTCCATCCTTCCGAGGTGGGTAAAATGAGGACCCGGATTGTTGTTGGGGGCAATATGCTGACTCTGTAAACCGCTTAGAGAGGGCTGAAAGCCCTATGAAGCGGTATATAAGTCTAACTGCTATTGCTATAAGGATGACCTCGTTCCTATTTTATTTTTCTGAGCAGTGAAGACTTGGCTTTTTTGTAGAATTTAGGGGACTTAATGGAAGAATTACTCTATTCCCCAGAGGTAAGCATTAGAAATAGAGATAAGGTTGTGTTACTTGTGTTTTAAAATTATTACTAGTTGTATTATAATAGCTTAGTCTTAAATAACTCTATTCAGGAATTGTATACTGCTCAGTCATCTGACTGCAGTAGTATGGAAGCCATATAAACATTATTTCAGCATTGTCAGTTCACTAAACTGCCATCAGTATTTGAGACACAAAATAAAAATATCCAAACAATTTTAAAGGTAAAGAATGTCTGAGTTAAAAATGGAGTAGCTATATAAAGAGTATATTCAAGTTTCCACTGTGCTTGAGTGAAACCTCAACACACTTCTTCTGAAGAGCAGACAATACAAAAAAACCCCATAAAGTGTAATTTGTGGAACTGAAAAGAGCATATTTTTAAGTGTTTGAAAAATAAAAATAGTTTGACAGCTACATCAACTTTTAGGTGAAAGGAAACAATATAGAAGAATCTGATATTCAAAGCATGGCCTAATAGTTTTAGTCTTAATTGATCACTGGGTTGGCAATGGATGAATTATAATCATGCAATTGATAAACATGAATTGATTGGAGAATGTGCATGCAACCAATTAGTGTCTTGGTTCAAGCTATCATGTTCTTCATCATTTATTAAACTTGTATGCTGCCAGATTCTGATGATTATACGTGGCTCACAACAGAGAAATAAAATACAATAATACCAATAAAAGATAGTAAGTGCAATAGACCAGAAGGAAGGAAGTGAGGAATCTCTCTCTCCCTCACGGCCTGGGTGGAAGATGAACAAAAATGGGTTGGTTTAAATTGGTGAATGAATCCAGCTAATTGCATATTCCAACAGGTTATATATCTGAGTCTAGCATATATACGTTTACCAGATTTCATAGAGAATATGTCCAATGAAAAGCCTCTATAGCTGGACTTTAAGTCTCCAAATATATGGTAACATCTAATAACAGAAATCATATTTAAGGGACTGATCATTCTTCACTTGGGAGATATTTTATATTAAATGAATATCCTCATTGTGCAGCATGGTATGTACATGTACATCGAGCAGAACTGAAATCAGTTCTCTTGATACTCATTGTATTTGTTATACAATGTATTTGTTATACAATGTTATTGTTATTTGTTATATATTGAAACAGATCTTTTATTTGTTCCAGCTAAGCAGGATGTTTAGAGGTTTTCTAGAGGTTAATGATTGTTTAGAAGTTGTCACATCTTCACTTTGGGATTGTTTTAGCAATAAACAGCACCTTGGGTGGATGGATGGATGGATACACGGATGGATGGATACACAGGTGGATGGAGAAATGCTGAGCATGTTTTCTAGAGTTGTGACTACTTCCGCTTCAGTGCAAAAAGGAGCGCAGGAGAACGCAGCGATTGGCAGCAATGCCTTAAAGCAGCTCAGTCGTTCTCCATTTCCTTCACTCGTCAGAAAAAAGTGACTGAAGTGGCGAGCCCTATAAGTTTGACAGGACAGGAAAAGCCAGTTCGTCAAAACGGGTCCTGTGTCATCATTTAATCACTCCTCCTTACTTTTACGTGTCTCGGCGAAGTTCTACAAACAGGACTTAACACGGGCAAGGCAGGCAGGCATACCTACCAGCATGCAATGGCTCCAAAGCGGCCACCTCCGTGGCCACCGCTTCGCTCTCCATCCCTAATCCGAGAGAGAGTGGGGGAAGAAGTTGCTCCCAGTTCCTCCTCCTCGGCTCACCCTTTCACCGTCACGGGCCAGCCCTTCCTCTACCCGCGATCATGTGAGGGATCATTTGAGCCGAATCACGTGGCTTTTGTTTTCAAGTTCGCATCCCGGAGGCAGCACCGATTTCGCTCTTGGGAACAAGCGCAGGTTTATTTCTCCGTTGCCTTCGGTCCAGCTGGACCATTAAAAACACTCCGAACAATTTTTCCTCTTTTCACCTTCCTTATGTCGCCGAAGAGTATTAATATAACTGGCTTTTCCCCACTTCCAGCCAAGATTAAAATCCCCACGCTGGTAACTCATATTTCGCTACAACTAGGCGAATATCCAGCTTTTTCTTTGCAATTAGCCGGTTTTCGTGGACTGGCTTCCGCTTCTCCCGTGGAAAGGCTAAAGTACTCTGCTGCGACTTTGGGGGGGGGATTGTTTCCCGATGTGTGGGACATTGTCCTCTGTCCCTAAGCACCCCAGTTGGGGAGAGGGACAGCTGTAACCCCGTTTATCTGGAAGCCACAGGCAACCCCTTCCTTGCTCTTGCTATCCCGGCTTCGGCGGGGAAGCGCCTTGGTGAGGCCCGCCTGCCTCGCGCATGCGGCTGACCAGGTTGCCTCCTAGCCCGGGCGGGGTTTGCTTACATCGCTGCCGCCGCCGCGGTTGGGTAACATTAGGATAACAAGCGACCGGCCACAGGCAAGTGGGGACTGCCTCCTTCGCCTCCCCGGCGATGGGCGCAGCCTGGAGCAGCCCCGCGGAGCGGGAGCCCCTCTTGCCTCCTACACCGCCCGCCGGAGCGCCGCCGTTTGCTCAACATGGCCAGTCCTATCGGGTGGCGGCGGAGTCGCGGGGCAGAGGGACGCCTCCGGCGGGACCCCTGCCTCGCCTGCCGCCGGTGCCGGGCCGCGTGTACGGGCGGCGCTGGCTGGTGCTGCTGCTCTTCTCGCTGCTGGGCTTCTTTCAGGGCCTGGTGTGGAATACGTGGGGCCCTATTCAGAACTCGGCCCGCCAGGCCTTCGACTTCTCCAGCTTGGATATCGCCCTGCTGGTCTTCTGGGGGCCCATCGGCTTCGTGCCCTGCTTCGCTTTCATGTGGCTGATGGACAAGAAGGGTGAGGAAGGAGAGGGAAGGGCGAGGCCGGCTATGCTGGGAGACGGGAAAGGCTCCGTCGATGAAAGCAGACCGGCCCAACCGGATGCCTTTCGGATGTGTTGAGTGGCCTCTTGGGGCGGTGGGAGATTTATTTTATTATTTTATTTTGCTTTTTTGACAGCTGCAGCACACTGCTGGCTCATGTTGAAGGGGTTGTCCACTAGTACTCCAAGATTCTTCTCACAGTTACTACTGTTGAGCCAGGGGCCACCTATGCTATACCTGTGTGTTTGGGTTTTCTTGCCTAAATGTAGAACATTACTTTTTTCACCGTAGAATTTGATTTTGTTAGATAGGGCCCAACGTTCAAGTTTGTTAAGATCTTTCTGTATCAAGCCTATTTTGTGCTATCTATCTATCCACATCTATCCCCTCATCCAAATCATTGATGAAGATGTTGAAGAGTACTGGGCCTAAAACAGAGCCTTGGGGTACTCCACCGCATACTTCCCTCCATGAAGATGCAGTTCCATTGAGACTACACATTGAGTGCGGTTGGTGATGAAGCTGTCTAACCCACGTTCTTCTACTTTATTTAGTAGTAGGTTATGGTCCACCTTATCAAATGCCTTACTGAAGTCCAAATAAATTATATCCACAGCATTTCTCTGGTCTGGTAATTTTGTCACTTTATCAAAGAATATAATAAGATTTGCCTGGCATGATCTGTTTTGACAAACCCATGTTGATTTTTCATTATGACTATGGTCTGAAACATTGGGAAAGTTGGGTTGCTTTCTGGAAAAATGAATTTCCTCCCTGGAGCTTTGGCCATCCAATTCAAAAGATCTGGAGTGGAAAAAAAATGCTTGATAGCGTTAATTACCTCACTTCCATCCCTTGGGTGGGTAGATATTTATGGATCTAAAACCTGTGTTCGTTTCCCTGGCGTTCCTTTAATTTCTCTTTTGAGGTGTTACATGTGAAAAAAGAATTTTCATGTAAATAAATGTCTAGCGTTTGAAACTTTAGCCCTTTCTCTATGGACTATTGTATACCCAGGGCAGCTTGCAGCATCCAAAAATGCAAATTATATCATCTAAAAATAAAAACAGTACAATTAAGACCAGAACTGAAATTATAACTCATATAATCAAAATCAGTCCAGGTCAAATTAAAGACCAGAGACTGACTTTTGTCTGTCACTGCATCTTATTGGGAAAGTAGGGGCCAAAGATACCACCTTGATGAAGGCAATTCAAAGTCTGGGAACCACATTGGAGAAAACTGTCTCTGCTGGACTAGATAGCTAAGCTACCCCCATACATTTGGAAGCATCTTTGAAAGGACCTTTCCAAATGGCCTGAGTTACCATACAGGTTCATAGTAAAAGGGATCATATAGGCCACAGGTATCAAACTCTTGGCCTGCGGGCCAGTTGTGTCATGTGCTGGCCCAGCCCCCAGCCGGTTTAGCAAAGGGGAAAAAAGTCCCAATACGTCATGTGACACTGCTGTGATGACACAAGTTTGACACCCCTGATATAGGCCATAGATAGGTTCTAGATAGATCATATGCTTTTTAGGGCTTTACTTTGTTCCTTGTAAGCATTCATCAATTGGTCTATACGTTTTGGGGAATGCATCAAATAATCCATGATTTTCTTGCTGAATTTTTTCTTAAAGTGGGAAAAAGGGGCCATATTTATGTCTCACTCACCTATCTGCCATGCTGCAAAGGAAAAGGACAAATGGACTGAAAATGCTACTTTTTACAGCTGCCTCTCTGCTACTTGCTTCTCTAAGTGGAGAATGGGATGACAAAGGAGTTCAAAAAGGCCACTGCTACTGTCTCTGCTGGCTGAATAAAGTTGTAAAAGTTGCCATATGAAAATGGTGCTATGAGCCTGGTGTCCTCTATTGCCTTGCTGTCTTAGCAAACCCAGATCTTGTGTATGCATTTTAAGTGGGCAATGAGGGAAAGAAAGAAGTCATGCTAATATTGTCATTTATATGTCTGAAAAGCATGATCTCCAGTTTTCTGCCTTCTTGTAGCCTATGATGAGCCTAATTGTATTATCCCCCTGGAAGGAGAAAGAATGGCAAGTGAATAGAAGTAGTCACTCTTGGTTGTTGTCTATTGAAATGTTGATCTTTCTGACCAAGCCAAGCTATGGAGTCCCTTCCTCTTCAGGCAGCCTTCCCTTAACCTGTGAGTTTAGACAATAGTGTGATTGCCTTCCAGTTGCTAGGTAAGCATCACTGAAATAAAGTGAGGGAACGCACTGGATTGATTGCTAACCTTTATGGTCAAATATTGTTGTTAAGACTGGTTATGCAGAGATAAATTTATTAACTAAAATAGTTTTTCACCCAGAATAAGATTATTGAAAAGGAAAAAGTAATAATGTCCTATCCACCAGTAACAAATACTTTGTCTACAGAGGTATTTTAAAAATTATATATAGGCTTCTTTAACAATTAAAACTAAAAATGAAGCAAAACTACATTTAAAGCAACAGCTATTCAGATTATTGTTTTTTAATTGTGATATTTGAATGCTATAGCAAAGTGAAATATAAAAACTGGGTTCGGTGAGCTGTTTTCTTGTAGCTAAATGGCACAAAAGAATGCAGTGTGTTGACCTAATCCTGTGGTTGCCTCTTATTCTGTATAAATTTTGTGTATATGATGCTCACATATTTTATAGGTAAACAGTATTTGGGATTTTGCTATCTCTAAAATCGGATATGGAAAATGTGGCAGTAGCTATATGATGAAATGTCAAAATTATGGGTCTACCTGTGCTTAGTGTCAACATAAATCACCAGTAACTTTTTAAAAAGAATCCAGACTTCATTAAAGATTGAACCGCAGCACTTATATTGATTGGTCTTAATGTGTATTCTTGCAGCAGAAAATTGCTCTGTTTAGGAGTTTTGAATATATTTTAACCAATGTGTAGTGAAAATACTCTAGTTTAGTACATCAACTCTCCAAAATGCCTCTATCCCGATTTTCTGAATTATCGTTCAGTGCAGATAATTCAATTAGGGAGAACAAACATTCATACATAGGCTTTTCTGTGGGCCTTTTCCCTAGAAGATAACAGTAAAGATTGAAGATTCTTTATAATTTATCTAATTATTAGATGTATTCCCATTTTTCCTTCAGAAACTCAAAGTAGTATAAAACTCGCATTTCTCAATTTTATCCTCATATAACACTCTTTTGAGACATGCAGACTAGCCAAAGTCTTCCAATGAGTTTCCTTGACTGAAGCTGGACTTGAACCTTAGCCTCAACACTTAGCATGCTATTTTTTTCCTACTCTTCCTCAATAATTAGGCATAAATTTGTTTTCAAATTACTGATTTTTCTTTTAAATATGGAAGTAAATTTGAGGTTTAGTATAGAAGTATATGCAGTACAGCTAATCCTGCAAGAAACAGTGAATGTTAAGCATTTTGATAACCATAATAAGCGTTGCCTTTCTAGAACAAGTTTAGTATTCTGTTTCTCAGTAGTAGTCAGATGTAAGCTATCAAGAGTTTACAGGGAGAGAGTGATGCAATAATGATATCCTGTTAGTTTCCCTCAAGAGTGATATTGCTTATAGTCATAGAGGCTTCATTACTTTGTCAGCTCTGTCATGGATGTAGCTCATGTTTTGGCTTCTTTTTTCTTTAAATAGCCTTGAAAGTTGAAAATGCATTACCACCTGTTGTAATCATGAAATTCAGCTTGAGTTTTTTGTGTTTGATGAAAAGGTATTTGACTGTTCTGAATCATTCTATCCCCATTGAGTGGCCTAAACCCTCAAAGGTTCTGGGGTTTATTCACCTACCCTGTTTCCCTCAAAATAAGACCACCCTGGATAATAAGCCAATTTGGGTTTTTGGCGCATGCACTAAAATAAGCCCTCCCCTGAAAATAAACCATCTCTGAAAATATTGCAACACAGCAGCAGCCATTAGATGACCACGCTCACTGCCTCCTGCACCTCAAAAATAATAAGACCTCCCTGAAAATAAGGCCAAGTGCTTATTTGGGGGGTCAAAAAAAAATAAGACCCTCTCTTACTTTCGGGAAAACACAGTAATGTTCCCCTTTACACAGTTCATACCATTAATGATCTTGTAAATGTTTCAATAACCTTAGCCTATTATTTTTGGTGATAAGAAAGAAGAACAACTGACTTGGAAAGAGCCTGTACCTTTGTGGAATCAAATTGAATATTCATAATAATACCATTATAGCTACAACATTCTTAGGGTATAGAATGCAGTAAAAATGCCTTTTTATTGTTACATGTGAATATTTTCTTGAGAGATTAATGTAAATTGGAAATTAAGCTTCCATTCATAGCATAGACATAGAGTATGTTTATGTCACTATATGATGGCAAGAAGAATTTAAACAATTTACTTAGTTACTTAGTTACTTACTGTGTTTAAAGTTCATCCAACTCAGAATATGGGGATGCATCTGAAGCTAGTAAGGGTGGAAAAGATTCATTGTATTGGATTAGAACGGCTGATGATGTCAACAGAGATTTGATAGCCGTGAACGCATGCCCTTCACGGCTGCCCCATCTCCACATTGTTGAGCTGTCAAGCAACCTATGTAGAGGCTCGGCGACGGACGCCTTATGGGGAAGAAACATTGCATAGAAATTTAACAATCCTAGGAAAGCCTGCAATTCCGCTCCATTAGTGGGTGCTGGTGCATTTTTGATTGCTTCCACTTTGGACTTAGAAGGATGGATGCCTTGAGCGTCAATGTGAAATCCTAAAAATTCCACGGAGGATACTCCAAAATGACATTTAGATTTTTTAAGTTTTAAGCCTTTCTCCCTGAATCCTTAGTTTCTGAATTAATTCTTGTGTGGTGTTAGCAGCTATAAGTATGTCGTCAAAATAAGGTAAAACCCCGGGAATTCCTTGTAATGTTCTTTCCATTATACTCTGGAATATTCCAGGTGTGACATAGACTCCAAATTGTAGCCTACAACAGCGGA